GGGCACTCGGCATCGACAAACTCGTACAGGTACAGGGATGGGATGGGATTGGGATGGGATTGGGATGGGATTGGGATGGGAATGATGGGAATGGGGTGGGAATGAGGGAACCACTCCTGGGATTGTTGGAGGATTCCTGGAGGAGGAGGAGTCCCAGTGGATGGGAATGGGGAGCTGGAAGGGGGAGTGGGAATGAGGGAGACACTCCTGGATTCATGGGAGAGGAGGATTCCCAGTGTTTGGGAATGGGAAGCCAGCTGGGAGCGGGAATGTGAAACCACTCCTGGGATTGGTGGAGGAGGAGGAGGAGAGGATGGGAATGGGGAGTTGGAAGAGGAGTGGAAATGTGGGAGACCCTCCTGGGTTTGCTGTAGGAAGAGGAGAAGGGATGAGATGGGAAAGATGGGAATGGGGAGATGGGAATGATGGGAATGTGGGAGGGACGAGACCGAGCTGGCCGAGATCGACAGGGCCCTCAGCATCGACAAACTCGTACAGGTACAGCCAGGGAATGGGATTGGGAATGATGGGAATGGGATGGGAATGGGATTGGGATGGGAATGTGGGAGGGATGTGAGACCGAGCTGGCTGAGATGGACAGGGCACTCGGCATCGACAAACTCGTACAGGTACAGGGATGGGATGGGATTGGGATGGGATTGGGATGGGAATGATGGGAATGGGGAGATGGAAGGGGGAGTGGGAATGAAGGAACCACTCCTGGATTCATGGGAGAGGATTCCTAGTGGAGGATTCCCAGTGTCTGGGAATGGGAAGCCAGGTGGGAGTGGGAATGAGGGAGACACTCCTGGGATTCCTGGAAGAGGATTCCTAGAGGAGGATTCCCAGTGTCTGGGAATGGGGAGCCTGATGGGAGTAGGAATGTGGGAACCACTCCTGGATTCATGGGAGAGGAGGATTCCCAGTGTTTGGGAATGGGAAGCTGGGTGGGAATGGGAGTGCAGGAACTGCTCTTGGGATTGCTGGAGGAGAAAGATTCCCAGTGTTTGGGAATAGGAAGCTGGGTGGGAGTGGGAATGAGGGAGACACTCATGGGATTGCTGGAGGAGGAGGATTCCCAGTGTTTGGGAATGGGAAGCCAGCTGGGAACTGGAAAGCGGGAACCACCCCTGGGATTCCTGGAAGAGGATTCCTAGAGGAGGATTCCTAGTGGAGGATTCCTAGAGGAGGATTCCCAGTGTCTGGGAATGGGAAGCCAGCTGGGAATGGGAATGAGGGAACCACCCCTGGGCTTCCCGGAGGAGGAGAATTCCCACTCCTGCCATTGGGAAGCCGTTTGGGGATGGCAACATGGGCTCCCCACCAGCATTCCCGCCGTATCCCACCATTCCATGTGTGTGTGTTTTCCCGGCAGGGCGGGGGTCTGGAGGCCCTTTCCGAGCGTTTCCCGGCCCCTCCAGCTCCCCCCGCGCTGCTGCTGGATCCCAAACCCGCCGGGCTGTACCCCCAGCCCTTCCCCTCGGCATCCCCATCCTCCTCCTCCTCCGCCATTCCCGCCGCCTTTCCCGCCATGGCGCGGCCCAAACCGCCCTTCGGAGCAGGAGGAGGAGGAGGAGGAGGAGGAGGAGGAGGAGGCGCTCCCGCCGTTCCCGCTCCGGCCGCTCCGCGCGCGGCGTTCCCGAATTCCGGGGGGGCTCCCCCCCGGCAGGGCCTGAGCCGGCCCCCCCCGGCTCCCAACCAGCTCCGCCTGCAGCTCCAGCAGCGGCTCCAGGGCCAGCAGCAGGTAATTCCGGCATCCCACTCCCAAAATTCCCGTCGGGGAGCTCATCCATGGGAGAATTCCCAAGGAGTTTTTTCCCCCCGTGCCTCCCGCAGCTGCTCCACCAGAACCGCCAGGCCCTCCTCAACCAGTTCGCCGCCGCCGCCGCCGCCAACGCCGGATCCGCTCCCGTCGGGATCAACCTGCGGGCCGGGATGCAGCAGCAGATGGCGCCACAGGTGAGTGGGAACGCTGGGATGGCATTCCCAAGGGGAAAAAGTAGGGAATGATCCCGTCATCCCGGCCTGGCTCGCTCCTTTAAGGCAGGGGATTCCCGGGAGGTGGTTTTTGCCTTCGTCCTTATTCCAGCTCCTCCAGGTGCTTAAGGTGGAAATACTTCCACAGGGAATGTGGGATAATATTCCCAGTGGGAAAAACCAGGGAATAATCCCGTTATTCCATCCTGGCTCGCTCCTTTAAGGCAGGGAATTCCCGGGAGATGGCTTTTTCCTTCATCCTTTTTCCAGCTCCTCCAGGTGCTTAAGGGGGAAATCCTTCCCCAGGGAATGTGGGATGGCATTCCCAGTGGGAAAAACCAGGGAATAATCCCGTTATTCCATCCTGCCTCGCTCCTTTAAGGCAGGGAATTCCCTGGTTTTTTGAGGTGTTTTTTTCCTTCATCCTTATTCCAGCTCCTCCAGGTGCTTAAGGTGGAAATCCTTCCCCAGGGAATGTGGGATAATATTCCCAGTGGGAAAAACCAGGGAATAATCCCGTTATCCCAGCCTGGCTCGCTCCTTTAAGGCAGGGGATTCCCGGGAGGTGGTTTTTGCCTTCGTCCTTTTTCCAGCTCCTCCAGGTGCTTAAGGTGGAAATACTTCCACAGGGAATGTGGGATAATATTCCCAGTGGGAAAAACCAGGGAATGATCCCCTTATTCCATCCTGGCTCGCTCCTTTAAGGCAGGGAATTCCCGGGAGATGGCTTTTTCCTTCATCCTTTTTCCAGCTCCTCCAGGTGCTTAGGATGGAAAATCCTTCCACAGGGAATGTGGGATGGCATTCCCAGTGGGAAAAAGTAGGGATTGTAGGCCGGTATTCCCATCCGGGCTCGCTCCTTAACTCCAGGGAATTCCCAGGAAACAGATGCCATCCGTTAAATCCCAGAATCCCAAGGAATTTCCCTCAACGATCCCACAAATCCCCGAGTCCTCCTTGTCCAAATCCAGGGATCAAAGCCCCACTGGGGGGGGGGGGTGAGGAAATTCGGGAATGGCTTCCAGGATGGGATGGGATGGGATGGGATGGGATGGGATGGGATGGGATGGGATGGGATGGGATGGGATGG